CAACCAGGGATCAAACCTGCAACCTAGGTATGTGCTCTGATTAGGGATCAAACCGGCAACCTAGATATGTGCCCTGACCAGGAATTGAACCCACAACCTTTCGGTGTACACTCCAACCAATTGAGCCACACAGGTCACGGCTAACACATGGTTTTGAAGTGAGTTTTTGCAACACTGAACCCAAACCTCACGTGCAAAGCATTGGTATGTGGGAAATACGTGGAAATGACTATTTTACAGTGGCCAAAAATAATAAGCCTAAGAAATAAAATCATCAATGTAAAATTGATTCAAAAACTATAAAGCACTATATAAAATGAAAGACATTGCCACTGATGTTGAGTTCTAGCAGAATTATGCTATGCTGAGGTCAGAAGAAATTTGACCTCAGCATAGCAGAATTATGTAATTGTCATTATATTCACCTACTATTTTATACTTTTTATTACATTAATATAAACTGTTATGAGTCCTTACTAAAGTGCCCCCCACCATGTACTTTCTTTCCCCAGACATGTACATAATATCTATTTCTATTTCATTATATCTTCAAAAGTTTGTGCATAATCTAGAAGCTATTAGAACAAGCTCAGGAAATGTTACAACCCATAGATGAATATAAAAGGAATGCACTTTCTGATAATCTAAAATCTCTGCCAGCAGAAGCATAGCCCATAACCTTATGGTATATAGTTTATTAGTTGGTATTTTTTAAAGTGATTCTCTTCAGTTTTTTATTTTTTGAATATTTCATTTCTTTTTGTGATAATTCAAGTAGAATCTGAGGGGCAGAGACTCTAGAAGAAGATGAGAGATTGAGAGAGGAGGAATGGTATGGGAATGAAGTCCAAAGCCAACAGAGAAGAAAATTTATGTGACTTGTTGCTAAGTCTGGCCATGTTATTCTTTTTTTTTTTTAATCCTCACCTGAGGACATTTTTGCATTTATCTTCAGATAGAGCGGGAGGGAGAAAGGGAGGAAGAGAGAGAAACATTGATGTGAGAGACACATAGAGTGGTTGCCACCCACACGACCCCAACTAACTGCAACTGAGGTTTGTGCCCTTAGCGGAAACTGAAATAATGACTCTCTGGTCCGCAGGCCAACACTCTAACCATTGAGCTAAACTGGCCAGGGCATGTACTATTCTTCTTTTTTTTAATCCTCACCTGAGGATATTTTTCTATTTATCTTTAGATAAAGTGGGAAGGAGGGAGAGAGAGACAAACATCAGAAGTGAGAGGGACATATCGACTGGCTGCCTCCTGCACCACCCTGAGCAGGGTTGGGGACGAACAGCAACTGAGGTATGTGCCCTTGACTGGAACCGAACTCATGACTCATTGGTCCATGGGCCGACGCTCTAACCACTGAGCAAAACCCGCCAAGGCTGGCCACGTTATTCTTGATTTTTTTTTATTTCCAAGAACAAGTTCAGGGCTTTAATTTCAAAACTGGGATTCTAACACCTGTTATAAACTGTAACAGCAATACAAAAATACCTAACTTAAAAAAAAAATAGTTGATTGATTTTGAGAGAGAGAGGAAGGGAGAAGGAGAAAGAGAAACATTGATGTGAGAGTGGACCATGTATACGCTGCCTCCTGCACAGCCCCCTGCTGGGAATCAAGCCCCTAACCCGGGCATGTGCCCTGACCTGGCATCTAACCAGCAACCTTTGGTGCACGATGCCAACCAACTGAGCCACACTGGCCAGAGCAACAACACAACACCTAACTTCTATTGAGTACCTACATGTGTCAGGCACTGTTTTAAATGGACTAACACAATTAATCATCATAATGACCCAATGATATGGGTACTATTATTATCCCTATATTATAGAAGAACTGTAAAGAGAGAGGCTAAGTAACTTGCCAAAAGTCACAGAGCTAGAAAGTGATGAAGTCTGGATTTGAATCCTGAAACTCTTCCTTAGCAGTTCACTGCAGTGGTTTTCCAACTACATTCTGCAGAACCTTTTGGACCCAGGAATTCTACTTTTAAAATACATTTTATCCATTTAAAAATCACAGTGAAAACATCACAATCAAAACTTTTATACTGTATGTAATGCACCAAAGGGAACCAACACAACTTTTTGCTGCCAGGTTAAGTCACTTTAGTGCAGGTCCTAGAATAAAGTTAGTCCTGTCACTTCTGACGTCTTCTTTGAACTTCCTGTAAACGTTTCATTGATTTGGAAGGTGTAATTCTGCACTGATTTATTTATTTATTTAAACTCCAGACTAGCTTTGTCTGCTCAGGTAAAAGGAGCATACAGACTCAATTGAACACCAGGTAAAGTTCAGGTGCATCTTATCACAGTGCAAGAGCAAAAGAGTGAATGAAGGCACATATCCCATTCATCTGAAGTTCTGGGGCTTATTGTCTGACATTGTTAAGGTAAGAAATAATGGGTTAGTCACAATTTTGAAAATTTTCCTACTGTTCCTACTATCATCTGTCTAGCTACAGAACATTTAACTGAAGGGTATCCTGAGATGGCAAGGGAAACCGTTAGAAAAAAAAATCACCTCCTTCGCCCCACTTCGGCCACACATCCCCACTGTCACACTGGACCATGTGTCCACAATCTCCTGCCTTTCCACTTTGCTGTATCAATCGCTCCCAGCCAGTTCTTTGATTCTATTGGGTCCACTCTTTCATTAACCATATATTTCCATTAACCATATAATGACTAATCCATTGCTCTTTCCTTTATTCACTTTTATTCTCTATCCAGCTGACAGTCCATTTGCCATCATATAATGATATTCTGACCAATACCCTAAACACCTTTGCTCCACTGTCATTTTGTTCCATGTAGCTAGCAAACCCCAACCCTGAATGAAGCTTTCTATTGACTTTCACTACACACTGGTACAAAGTAGCTGAGCACTCCTAGAGAAGGTCAACAGGCAGATGGGTTACCACACTGTATGTTCACGACCACTGACTTCTATAAGGCTATCATGCTGCTAGACAATCCTACTATATGTCATGGTTGGCATGCTCCTTCTGCAACTAACTATTCACTTACTTCAAACATTTTCTGCCCCTCCCATCTCCACAGCAACTCACAACAGAAGACTTAACCTACTAATCTGAAGGAGCTGTACTTATCCTATCCTTGCTTTCTTGTGAATATAACAGAGGAGCTATACCCTTCCCCAGTGCTTTGAATGCTGCCCTTTTCCATCTTCTAGGGAGTGTTATGGTATTACCTACCTCTTTCTTCCTCCATACAGGTAACGGTTCCCTCTCTCAACTATAGCTTTCCCATGGATTATTTAGTCTCTTTTATACAGTGGAATTCCACCTGGAAGCTCCTTGCAAGGACCTTTCTGCTAAGACATTGAAACCTCTTTGCCCTTAAGTAACTAAAGCTCCAAAGAAAGTGTCATAAAAGGAGTCACTGCATATACAATTAGGATAAAAACAAGTACAGGTCATGAACTGGATGTCACCCATATAACTGTACAAACTAGTAATGCTGACATTGTCAACATTTTCAGAAATAAAGACCACAGCTTCATCAAATTCTAAACCATTGTGATACTTTATATGCTTTACAATTTTTAAAAAATCGACATATAACATTGTGTATGTTTAAGGTGTACAATGTGTTGATTTTACACATTTATCTAGTGCAATAGGATTGCCACCATAGCATTAGCTAACACCTCTGTCACCTCACATAATAATATACACTATGCTTTACAATTAAGAGTGCTACTAAAACTGTATAGGCAAGAAGAGGAGCAGAGTTTTTTAGAGTGTTATATAAAAAATGTTTTCTTTATTGATTTTAGAGAAAGAGGAAGGGAGAGGGAAAGAGATAGAAACATCAATGAAAGAGAACATCGATTGGTCACCTCCTGCATGCCCTCCACTGGGGATCAGGCCCACAACCTGGGCATGTGCCCTGACTGGGAATCTAACCAGTGACCTCTTGGTGCAGGGTCGACGCTCAACCAGTGAGCCACATCCGCCGGGTTAGAGTGTTATTTTAATAACTAGTAAATCTGACAGCATAATTTTATGTTACTAGGTCTAGATGAGAGAGAAAAGGGCGGGAGCAGGAAGCAACAAATGTCCAGCTACAGTCTTTTTAAGAGCTAAAAATACTGCAGGATAAATACAGAACGTAAGTAATAACTGAAGTAGAAGTTTGACAGCATAGTGATACATTTTTATAACAAATTATTCACGGAGGAAGCTTGACATTCCCAACACCCAATACTGCCTTCGCCTGCACCGAACAAGCAGTTAGAAAACTGCGCGGGCGTTGACCTGGATAGCCTTCCTTCAGGAAGATGCACCTCTGTCCAGCCAGCACCCCTGCCCCTGGGCGGACAGCTCCCCGGGTAACAGCAGGCACTGCTACTGCAGCTGAGCTGCTGCCACTCGGGTGTGTTCTTTGATTTTGTAACACTATTAAGATCTCTAAAGCGTTTTGTGATGCGCTGGAATGAAAGATGCTTCATAAAATGAAGTTTATTATTAGTAGGTTTATAGCTCCCGGGCCTAAAATAAAGCCAAATTATAATCACAGAGGCTTCAAAGTGAAATCGGAAGCCACATGCGTCTCCAACGCTGCCAAGTGGGCAGGGGCTGGGCAGGGGCGCGGAGAGGGGGTCCTGCCAGCACTCCCCCCGCCCGCGCGCCCGTGACCCTGCCTCCCTCGCCACCTCCCGCCGCAGCCTCCTCCGGCTCCTCGCGCACAAGCAGCCTCGCTCCGGCCCCAGCCTCCCGCCTGCTTCGCCGGTGCCTCAGTTTCCTCCAAATCGCTTTCTTCCCGTTTCCCAACGGGACCTTTTTTTTTTTTTTTAATCCGAGACGAAGCTGGTCCCCCCGCGACCCCTCAGGTCGGTGGCTGTCTCCCCTCGCCCTGCATCCTGGTCCGGGACCCGCCAGCCCAGGTCTCGCCTCTCGGCCACTTTTCCTCACCGGGCCCCTCCTTCCCCCCGACCCGACCCGCGCGCCCGCCGCTCACCTGCGGACTCCCCGGTGTTGATCCAGTCGGGGTTGGCGATGCTGGCGATGGCGAAGATATCGGCGGCGAGAAAGAGACATCCTGAGATGATGGTCAGTTTATCCATCTCCCCGCCCCGCTCCCCCCACCCCCCGAGCCCCGGGCAGACCGCGGCCTCACGCCTCGCGCCCCATAGGCCGCCGCCGGGGCCCGGAGTCCCCGCGCCGCCGCCTCGAGCGCCCTCGGCCCCGCGCCGCTCGCGCCGCCCGCGCGCTCGGGACCAGCAGCCGCGGCGCGGCCCGCACAGCCGGATCCGCCGCCCGCCCCGGAAGTGCTCGGCGCGCCTGCCCCTCACCCGGAAGCGAAGCCGCGACGTGGATCCCGCCGCGTCCCCGGGACTCCGGTCCTGCCTGGCGCCGGTGCCGGCCTCTTCCCGACCTCCCCGGGCCGCGGGTCTCTCCCGGCAGGCCACGCTTTTGTGCCGGTAATAATAACGTTGCTCTCGTCGTTCGTGACCTTCGGGCATGAGAATGCCCCCAGTCCTTGGCCTGAGACCGGTGGGCGGAGGGGGCCACAGCCCGGCCTCGTCGTCGCCCTCCCGTGCCCGTCAGCTCGGGACTGCCCGGGTCGTCCCGGACCAGCGGCCCCTGCCGAGCGCCTGGCGCCGCAGCGCGTGGGAGACCAGGTCTCGCTCGTTTGAAGCTGACGTCCTACTGGGGAAGAGACAGACACGTTAAAACCTTGTCTTTAAAGATACTTCCAGGTGTTGATCTGTGAGTTGAGTTGGGCTCGTCCAGATGCAGGGGACACAGACCGCCGCGGTCCTGAAGCCCTGACCTAGGACGATCTGGGCAGGACCTCTCGGGACAGACGGACACGCAGGTGCACCGGGCGCCGGGGAGCGCGAGGAAGACGTCGGCTGTCCTGGGGCCGCGGAGGGGCCGGCGGCTGGGAGCCGTGCGTGACAGCCAGAGGTGCGCAGAGGACGGATGTGGCGCTTGGGAGTCATGATGAAGACTGGATTTTATTCTAAGTGCAACGGGAAGGCACTGGAAGGTTTTCAGCAGGGGGGTGAGAAGATTTTATTTAGTCTGTAGGTAGTGTAGACTATCGAGGGGAAGGGCAAGAATGAAAGCAGGGATATCAGTGAGTAGACCCAGTAGTCCAGGAGAGAGAAATGTTGCTTTGGCTGGGTGAGGGTAGTGAAGGTGGAAAAAAATGGACAATTTGGATGTTTTGTAGGTAGAGGGAACCAAGGGACTAGCTGATAATGAGGTGGAAAGAGAGGACTCAGGAATGACCCCTAAATTTTTGGCCTGAGTAACCAGGGTTTGGTGATACTTGTTACTACTTGGGGCCCAAAGAGAGGCTTAGGTTGGATGGATAACCAGAACAACAACAAAAGACGACATTGGCATAATTTGTTAGCAATACAGGCGGTCTATCATTCTATAGTTTTGCGATCTAGTGGAGGTTTCCTTTTCTTTCATGGCTCATGGACCAAATCACCATGAACCCTGACTTTGGATCCAGCTCTTTCTTCCCAGATGGTCTCCATTACAGCACCCAGATGAGACCCTTTCTCCTGAATGCCACCTAGCTTATCTCTGGAAAGTCCTAGAAGAGTGACATTTGTCTCTGTTTTTGGAATGCCTACATGTCCACAAAACTCAGCACATTTAAAATTCCACCAAATCCAACAACCTTGCTTAAATGCACAGAGTTATCAGTGTTACCACATAGACTGAGTAAGGAGTGATTTGATTCCTAGTCTACAGAAACATCTGTTCAGCTCTGGTAGGTGCGGTTCAGTGGTTAGAGCGTCAGCCCCAGTACCCAGCGCTCCCCGGGATGTTTTTCTCTCCCCCTCCCTCCCTCCCACTCTTAAAAAAAAAAAAAAAAAATCAATGGGAAAACTATCCTCAGGTGAGGATTAACAGACCAACAAAAAATAGAGACATTCCTGTTCAAACATTAGTCTCTTAAGGGGAAGGATTTTAAAAAAATTATACCATTTATTTTTCCACTGCCACAGAAATGGGCACAAGCTAACATATATTCCAGGAATTCAGATACACATACCACTTTATTTTTAAGTACTAGAGAAGTTTGATGGAATCATATTCTTGGCTTATTGTCTGGTGTTTCTGTTGCCCATTAATAGAAGAAACTCCAACTAACAGTTCTGAATTCTCAAATAATGTCCACTGATGTTCACCACTGGGAAGTTGATGAGAATCCCAGGGTGAAATTTTGGAACAGTTTGCCTATTCAAACTCCAACTGAGTGGAATGATAATGACTTTATTCTTGTGTTTAAAACAATACAAGTATAAATTCTTCCCGCCCGACACGACTCAAGCTCTCCTGCCTCTGCCTCTCCACAAAAAGTTCTGGATTTAAGATTAAAGTGTAAAGACTAGTATGGAGCTTAAAAATTTTAAACATTTTTTTTTTTACCAGATAAATGGCTTTAGGTCACTAGAGACAGTGGGGTGGGGCACAGTGGCAGGGGCAGGGACCAAATACTGTATTGACAGATTTCCCATTAGTCCTATTTTCAGCCCCACATCTCTCTTGCCTCCCAGTACCTGGTGTTTCAAAGTCCTAAGTGTCTCTGAGATTGATGGGCAGATCGGTTCCATTCTGTATGTCATAGCCTAGATTTTAGTTGAGGCAAATCATAGGGGTTAGGGAGAGGTGGTATGACAGAGTAAAAAGAATACAGAACTATATTCTAGTCCCACCCCTGCTACTGACTTGAACTTGGGAAAGCCATGTCACCTCTCTGGGTCTCTTTCCTCCATCTGACCTACAAGAGTCAGGCACTCTGCTTCAGTGATAGAACCTTATCTTCCTCTTACCCCTAAGCAAAGCAGCTGGGACTTTTCAGGGAGGATGAACCATGAGGCTCCTTAAGCAGAAAGTACTTGGGGACCCAGAAGAACATAGAAGGCCCCAGGAGAGAGTTGTGCTAGCAGCCTGAAGTCATGAATAGCCATTCTGTCCTGTTAAAAGGCTGTGAACATACATGCTTTATCATGATGGATAGTAGGCCTGGGCCCAGCAGAAGCTGAATCCAGATGGTACCTGTGAGAAAGCTGCGGAGGGGACTGTGCAATCACTCTTCTCTTTAAGACAGCGGTTCTCAACCTATGGGTCGCGACCCGTTTGGGGGTCGAACGACCCTTTCACAGGGGTCACCTAAGACATAACAGTAGCAAAATTACAGTTATGAAGTAGCAACAAAAATAATTTTATGGTTAGGGGTCACCACAACATGAAGAACTGTATTAAAGGGCCGCAGCATTAGGAAGATCAAGAACCACTGCTTAAGGAGTCTCTGGCCTGACAGGCTGAAGAACATACTGCCTCCCTGAGGTTGAAGTTGACCATGCGGGCCAAGGGTGTGCTGGATATACCACACCTGTGCACCTAGGGTTTCCTGGATTAAAAACAAAAGAGCCTCGTCCAGAAGTTAACAGTGTGTGCCTTGGGCTCAAGGCTCTCCTGGTCACACCGATTGGCTTTCATTAGAGCCAATTCTGAAATAAGACATGATCGATTCATGTGCACGAAGTTTCTTAGGGAGTGTTCTGGGATCAACTCCTGTGGGGGAAGGAAGGGAAGCAAGCAGGATTGAGCGGGGGAAGCAGTCGCAATGGTGCAGTCACATGGCACTCTGGCAGGCCCCTTGGGGAGCTCTGAAGCTGGATGGCTATTTGGGGTTGTTAGCTGGGGTAGAGGGGCCAAGCCTTTGTATGTCTGCATGGACCAGTCACTGGGTGCTAGCTACCCCAGGAATGGGGCATGACCTTGGGTAAGGTGGCTCCCAGCCAAGGACAATTCCTTGAGAGGGCTGGCAGCTGAGATTGCCAACCTACCTACTACCATCCCAGAGGCTGGAGAAGAGGTGCTTCAGCCCTGAAGGGACTAGGTGACACACTAGCATTTGCAACAGTGCACCCACAGTGCTACACTTCTTTTCAGTTCCTACCGCAGCACCTCTATGACCCTGGTGGGTGTCCTTTCCTATAGGAACTGACAAGGAAGGTGAGTGGAACACACTGGAGCTCCCACTGCTGCTGCAGCTCACCTCATGCAGGACTGACACTGATGTTCCTTCCCCTCTCCTTTCACCCTTGATTGCTCAGACCCTCTGCCAGCGCTCCTGATGGCCTAGGTGGCTTACGTGGTGGGGGGCCTAGGCCATCCCTGAGGAGTTTGAGCCCCTGCTTGTACTTCTCAGGCTGTGGCTGCTGTATTGGTCCACTTACTGTCAAAATAGGGCAAGGGAGTACATAGAGACACCCACGTGGATTGTGTGGGTGCCGAACCATTCACTTTATTACCGGTGAAGAATTAACCATCCGAATGCTTCCCTGTCTACTGTGCATGGGGTCCTCATTGTTATTGGGCAGTCAGTCACCCAGCTCCCAAATCCCATGGTGGCAGCTACTCTTTCAGACCACCCCAACTGCTGGTGCAGGTGGGTTCTCGGAAACACACTGACTTGCAGGGAGTTTACTGGGAACTGTGCTTGGGACCCACACCTGTGCGAGGAGAACAGGAAGAGGGCTGGGCAGAAAGAAAAGTCATGTTACATTGCAGGCACAGGTGGACCTCGGGGCACTCTGAAGCTGAGGTGGCCCTCCAGAGTTGTTTGAGTTGGGCGGAGAGGGCAAGTGTTTACCCTGCACTGACCAGACACTGGTTGCTGGCTGATCTGGGAAGGTAAGAACTTGGGCCAGAAGCTCTCTTTGTTCGGTTAGCAGCAGTGGGGAGGTGGGGGGGGGGGGTCCTTCAGTCCTGAAGGGGGATCTGGACAGCACAGCATCCATGACAGTTTGTATTGGGTAATTCCAACAATGTGATCTTGGTATCCCCTTGGAAGCCTTTTCAGCCTGGTTTGGAGGAGAAAGGTGGAGCCCCTGTGCCCCACCGGGAGGTGCTCCCCTCGGAACCTTAAATGCTGCCGTGCCTCCTTCCCACCAATGCTCACCATTCCCCTACTGATAGGAAAATGGAGAGAACCGGTGTGTTTTGTGGTAGAATTAATCTGGCATCTGGACAGATGTTTGCCAGGTGGGTTGGAGGAGGAAACAGGCTGTCCATCACAAGAAACCACCTGCAGGAGACTTCTAGAGGTTGGGAGTAGTGAGGAACTGGACGACTGTTCACTTCCATTTGTACCAGCCTTTGCAACACAGAACTTATCCAACAAGAAATCGGCCCTGGTTATTGTCTGGGTAGAGCCACAGAAACAGCTGAATGAGCTGGAGCTGCCCGGGTTTGGCTGTTTCTGCACAGTGCCTGACACCTTGCCAGGAGCTCCATCACACTGTTGAAGGCAGGCGTGCAAGATGCTCCCCTCTGTCTGGTCAAGGTGGGGAGAGCAACAGGAGTTACCTCATTCTATTGTTTTCTCTTTCTTCTAGAATTTAGTTTTAATCATTTATATCTTCCCAAAGCTGCCCACTCCATCTGTTTTTTAAATTTCAGTTCCAAGAGGTAGTAGAGCCCTTGTTTGTCCTGCTGGTTGTTGTGTCCCCAGCGCCAGCAGAAACTAGAGCAGGCTTCTGGAAGGAGTGAACCTCTGTGGGAGGGAGGGTTCTTTTGGCAAAATAGAAAGAATTAATTCCTCTCCAAACCGTGACTCATTGGCTTTTTCTCATTCAAAATATCCATGAAAAAAGTGCAGTTGGAATTGTTGATGTGACCGTATTTAAAAATGCCATTATTGGGAGGCAGAAGGAATCTGTGCTTGCTGGGTCGATGGCCCTCTGTGAACATTGACATCCTTGAGACCCTCCCGAGCGTCCTCCACCTGTCCCCTTGTCTGTGGCTTCCAGGAAGGGGGGCGAACCCACTGTGAGCGGCACTGTGCTAATCCCTGCAGGAGTATTATTTTTCTCCACCAAAATGTCCACACTCCCTTTTCCAGGGTCCACTGAGGCCTCGTGGTGACAGCGCCGCTGTCCACCTTCGGGGCGCTGTGGTCCCGCGGCCCTGGGAGCCAGCCGAGGAGCCGGTGTGCGGGTCCGCCGCGTCGGAGCACGTGCAGCACGCCGGCTCCCGCTCCCCCAGCGTTCGAGGCCGTTGGGAGTTGGACCGACTTGGGCTCCCGCTCCGGCTCCTGACGGCCCTCCTGCTGGCCTGCCCTCCTGGGGCCATGGAGGACGTCTCTCAAAGCAGAGGTGACGCGAGCAGGGAGAGGGTTGACCAGATCTTCCTCCCTTTCCTCCCCTGTAAGATGGGACCGCCGGCTTCTTGGCTTCTCGCCATCTTTGTTTACCAGACTATGTTTACACACAGAGCCCCCCCGCAGAGTACGAGTCTGTGAGTTTTGACAATCGCATACCCACGTGTAACCACCAGGCAGCCGAAAGGCTGCGCCTGGTGCCCCTCCTTTCCCCCACTCCAGCTCCTGGTCTGTTTCTGTGTAGCTTTGCCCTTTCCACGGAGCATGTCATGAACGCGGGGTCATACAGCACGGTGTCCTTTGAGTCTGGCTGCTGTCACGAGCTCTTCTGCCCTTTGAGACAGGAGAGTGTATCACAAGCGCACGGATGTGCAAGCTGAAGTGGGCGGTCACGTCCTGCCTGAGAGGCCACGTCTCTGTGTGCTCAGGAACCAGGCTCCAGGAGGGGACAGCCCGCTCAAGGTCCTCCTCCCCCATCTTGAAGTCTTTGAAGTGGGTACTCCTTGACCCTAGGTTGCTGTGTTTTGTGGAAAGATTGGAGATGGGCAAGGACACCTGCTTGGCAGAAACACCTGAACCCTGCCAGCCCCCCCACAGTTGGGGTGGGGGAAAGAGGGAAGCCCCTTCCTCAGTAGTGGGAGGTCTCCCGGCTCCCCAAACACCAGTCACATGAGTTTGGCAAAGGCTTGGTGAGGAGCAGTGTGTCACTTGTCCTTAAGGAAAAGTGGGGTGTGTGTGTGTGTGAAATGCTGGAAAAGTGTGCAGAAAACAAATTTCACCAGAAGCTCCTGTGCACTGAAGTTGAGTCTCCCCAAAGCTTCCTCTTGGGAAGAATAACTTGTTTTAATTCATTCTGCAGTCTTTGAAACTTTTCTTGTGAGGCTGAGTTCTGTAGAAAACATATTTCAACACCTCCCACCACCCACTGCCCAGGTTCTCCTTGCAAATGCTGGTTTCCCACTGTGCCTTTCCACTGTCATTGCTGTAGCATGCTTGGGTCATTGCAGTGATCCCATTTCCTACGTCCACTCTGGTGCCCATAATCCATGCTCCACAGCAGAGGGTTCTTCTTAAAAAACAAAAAAAGAAATGCAATGCTTACTATGTCCTGCGTAGATCACTTCAGCTCCCCCAGTTAGGTAACCAACCCTGCGGGCGGCAGGTGCTCTGCCCGTGCTCCTCTGGCCTGCCCTACTCTGTGCTCTTTCCTGTCCCCAAACTTTGATCCAGTTTGCTCCCTTCCACCTCCTTTGCCTAAATACTCCGTTAATCCTTTCAATCTCAATTCAAATTTCACCTCCTCTGTGAAGCCTGGCCTGCCTTCCCACGGGAGACCTTGACCTACTGGGGCACTGTCCACACTTTTCCTTCACAGCATCTGTTACGGCTGTTTGTTATTCATCACCTGTTTACATGACTAATGGATCTGTGTCCTCCACTAGATGGGAAGATCCATGAGGACAAGACACACTTCAGAGTCAATCAATATTTGTTAAGTGAATGGATAGTAACTCATGTTAATTAAACATTCACAATGTGCTAAGCACTGTGCAAAAGCTTTCATTGTCTTATTTAATTCTCTTTACAACCCTCTGAGGTGGACACTTTTATTATCCTTACTTTACTGAAGAGGAAACTGAGGAATGGAGAGGTTAACGGCCCCAGCGGTCTGCTTTAGAGCCCCGGTGACAACTGTCAGCTGCTGTCTGGGTGAAGGTCTAAAACACATTTCCCTCTTTTTATCAGAAAGCGGCTTCACGGTCAAGTCATCAGTGCACAACTTGAGCAAAACTCAGCAGACCCAACTCACTGTGGGCAGCCTGGGATTAGGCCTGATCATCATCCAGCATGGGCCCTACCTCCAGATCACTCACCTCCTCAAGAAAGGGGCTGCAGCCAGGGATGGAATGCTCCAGCCAGGTGCCTGGATCCCCGTGCCTCCCATCCACCCACTCCGGCCTCTCTCCCACCTGCCTTCAGGGAGGCTCAGGTTGTTAGGTTTCAGCATAACCATGATGATAATGATGACATTGTCTGAAAGCTTTCTATAGGCCAGCCAGTTGCTCTCACTTATATAACTCTCCCTATTGGGTGTTATGTATTCATTGAATTCTTACAATAACTCTCTAGGTAGGAACTATTATCACCCCCCTTTGATAGGTGAGGAAACTGAGGCTCAGTGAGTTCCTGGTGCTGTGGAATATGAACTCAGGCACAGTGTCACTCAGAGCTCGTAGCTCCCTGTGGTAAACATTTCTTCTCTAGTGGGCAGCATTAATCAACACTTAGATGCATGACCTCATCCTAACCTCCAGACAGACCCTGAGGAAGACTCTGCATTTAATGACCTTGTACCTCTGGCCAGCGTGGCTTGGTTGAAGCATCGTCCTATACACTGAAATGGTGCTGGTCAGGTCACATGCCTAGGTTGTGGGTTTCAATCCACAGTGGGGGCACATATGGGAGGCAACCAATTGATGTTTCTCCCTTACATTCATGTTCCCCCCCCCCCCCCAGTTTCTGATTCAATTGGGGGCTGGGGACAGGGAAGTTTATGGTTTAAAAGCTCCTCCAGTGCCCTGGCCGGTTTGGCTCAGCGGTTAGAGCGTCGGCCCGTGGACTGGAGAGTCCCAGGTTCGGAGTCCTCTAAGGGCACGTCCTTCGGTTGCAGTTTATCTCCGGCCCCAGTGGGGGTCGTGTGGGTGGGTGTCAATATTTCTCTCTCTCTCTCTTCCTCCCTCCCTCCCTCCTGCTCTATCTGAAGATAAATGCAAAAATGTCCTCAGGTGAGGATAAAAAAAAAGCTCCTGGGGTGACTCTTATTGCAGCTCAGGTTAGAAGCAGTGGATAAAGGAGAAAGTAGATAAACAATCCTATTATGAAACAGTTAACTTTGCCTTAAAATCCAAAACATTTTCTCCACGCGTCACCACTTGGGGCTGGGGAACAAACCGCCAGAGACTTCTGGACTTTCCAAGCCAAAGGAAGTCCAGGACAAACCCATGGGCTCTGCTGGCTCCCCACGGCTCCTCTGGGGTCAGGTGACAGCTGCTGGTTGATAACCAGAGTGTTCACTCCCTGGAGTGGGCTAGGAGTATTTTCATGCTCACGAAACAGAAGCTCATATTGGGGCTGCAGTTAGTGGGCTCCTTGAAGTCAGAGGCAGTCTGGAATTCATCTTTGAAATCCAGGACTTACCTATGGTACTGGCATATGTATTATGTCTGTGCTTAATAAATGAATAATAATTGAGTATTTGTTCTAGGTTGTGTGAAGTGTTTCTACATTATCTAATTAAATCTTTGTAACACTGCTGGAGAGTAGATAATAAAAGATAGAGGTTTAGAGAGATGAAGAAACTTAATACACAGAGCTGAGCGGTTAGGGCTGGGACTTGAACCATGTCTGCCTAGAAAGCCCTACCTTTGACTGGAAATAAGATTTTAATACAGAAGGAGTCCAGAGTCCCAGTTCTCTTTATGGCAAGTCAGCCACTTGTCCTCAGGGTCTAGGCTTCAACAACTGTAGTTTTTCCTTTTGACAATGATTGACATTTTTAGAGGTGATAGTCCTAGAAACCTCCTATTTCTTTGACCCCATGACTTTCCAGACCCATTCCCATCCATGTGCTTTACATTTATGTGCTTGCTTTCCTAGTTTAGTTTAGTGTTAGCTTACTCTGGCTAAACTTTAAATTCCTTTTGGCCAGTATAGCTTTCACAGACTGATACCCAAAGTCTTAAATTGAATACGTAGCCTTTAAGGTAGACACAAGTCAAGTATGGCTACTGTTCTTACCAGGCCACATTTATTAGCATTCCCCAGACTGCTGTGTGCAAGCACGAGCTAGGCACTGGGGTGCAGTGGTGAGCCTGCCAGATGTGGTCTCACACAAGGAGCTCACGACACTTACGCCTTGTGGGAGAGAGGGAGAAAAACTAATAAATCTAATTTTTAGTAGTGGCTTTGATATTGGGCAAAGTGGGCCTCCCCCTCCCCCGCTGAGGGCTGGGGGCTGAGTCCTTAAGCTTGCAGTGGCCACGCCCATTCTGGCCAACCAACTCTGTCCCCAGGTGTGATTGACAGCAAATACCTCACTAGTGCCCCCAACTTTACAGGGCATGTGTCCATCACCCCTCTGTTAGAAGCTGGGGAGTATAAAGTTGTAGCTTCCTGGTGAAGCTGCCCAAATGACATGCCTATGCTATCTGGCCTTCCCTTTGCTCCTTTCCTATTATTAATAATTAGCTAATTACAACGGCATCAGCTTGGCTGCTGCAAAGTTGATTTAATATAGGTAATTGAAATAAAGCTTATATGATGTGGATCTTACCACATATAAAAACAGAAAAAAATGTGTAATGAGGTTGGTATTTATAAATACCAGGGTGGTGTTTCTTTATGAGGGGCAGTGTTAATGTCCACTGTCACAGTAATCACTTAATACAATGACATGTTTGGTTTACAGCCAGGATGGTCAGGGAATCAAGTTGCTTATTTTGTGCCCTCTTGATAAAGGTCTCCGTGTAACAACACAACTCAGTGGAATGCCAAGCCATAGCTTTCAGCTGTAAACTTTTTTTAACATTAGCAAGTGAGCTCATCTGGTGAGTTTTTGCCATTGTAATTAACCTCACTTGGGCCTCGTAATCAGCAGGCAGCTGGGAGAAAGAAGCCTTGCTTCATTCTTAAGTTAACTTTGTTGATTTTACTTCCAGTTATATATTTTTAAATGAATTCTTATTCTAGATCAGTTTATTTTGACTTGATTTTACTATAAAAATCAAGCAGATACTGCATCAAGATAATGTTGATCCAGTTAGAAGAGGGTATAGTTGGCCCTGCTGGTGTGGCTCAGTGATTGAGCATTGTCCTATGCACCAAGGTCACCGGTTCAATTCCTGGTCAGGGCACAAGCCGAAGTTGTGGCTCAAGTCCCAGCAGGGAGCGTGCAGGAGGCAGCTGGTTGATGTTGATGTTTCTCTGTCATCGATGTTTCTATTTCTCTCTCCCTCTCCCTTTCTTTCTCTCTAAAACCAATAAAAAGCATATTTTAAAAAAGCAGAGGGTATAATTGATGTACTTTGTAAATCATAACATTCATATAAAAATCCTACCCACTTTATGTAAAGATTTTGGTTGAATATTAGCTAGTAAATTTCTCTCTTCTTAAATATCAGTTAGTTGGTTTATTTTTTAAAACTTTATTTCTGTTATTGGAGAAATTGGGGTGTCCTCTTCCTCACTGGGTGCTGGGGGTAGGGTCTTTATGATACCTCGAGAAAAAGAATTTTCTGAGACTTGCACAGAAGAATTAGTGATTTTTATTTGTGTGGAATTTCATCCCTGGGTTTCCAAAGTCCCATTTCTCTCAGTCCAGTCATAGAAGAAGTGTATAGCTAGGGTTATAGGAGAGCTAGAAGCAAAGCCAGTGTCCAGAGTGTCCATTCCATGTTGCAACTGGGTCCAGTTCAACATCAGGCTAGTTGCAGTCCATCAGTCCATTGTGTGTGGGGGGCCATGGGCCATGTGGCAAAGGCAGGAGAATGCGCCCTGAACAACAAGAGTCCCAAGAACATCAGAAGAACCAAGAGAAGCCAAGAGAGCAAATTTCTTTGTTTAGGGGATTAAATATCTCACATTTCATGCATTTACAGTGGCCTCATTCATTCTGGTCAATGACCCATTTCCAGGTGTGACTGACAATAGCACCTTCCCTATGTCACCCCAACTTTACTGGGCATGCATGTATTCTCCTTCCTGTTCATCCTTATTCCCCTAGCAATTTGCAGGGAATAGGCTGGTGGCTCCCAGGGGTGTTGAACTGCAGCTTCCTGGCAAAGCTGCCCAAATGACATGCCTATAATATTTGGCCTTCCCTTTGTTCAAGTTAATTGCAACAGTATCATTTTCATTGTTGACATTATAATAGATGTCCCATTTCCCCAACATTTGCCCATCTCACCCACTCCCCACCCCCTCTTTCCTCTGGCTATCACTTTACTACAGTCTGTGTCTGTGGGTTATGCATATATGTTTTTTGGCTAATCTCTTCACCTTCTTTCATCCAGTACTCCATCCCCCTCCCCTCTGACCTCTATCAGTCTGTTCCCTATATTCATGCCTCTGGTTCTATTTCATTCATCAGTTTATTTTGTTCATTAGAATTCACATATAAGTGAGATCATATAGTATTTGTTTTTGTCTGGCTTATTTCACATAACATGATAATCTCCGAGTCCATCCATGCTGTTGCAAAAGGTATGATTTCCTTCTTTTTTGTGACTGAGTAGCATTCCATTGTGTAAATGTATCACAGCTCTTTTATCCACTCATGTACTGGTCACTTGGGCTGTTTCCAGATCTTGGCTATTATAAATAATGCTGCTATAAACATAGGGGTGCATATATTCTTTCAAATTGGTGTTTTGTGGTTCTTAGGATATATTCCCAGAAGTGGGATTACTGAGTCAAAAGGAAGTTCCATTTATAATAAAAAATAAAACCTTACCCAAGGATATGTCTTTATTGATTTGTGAGAGAGAGGAAGGGAGAGGGAGTAAGGGAGAGAGAGAAGGGGGGGGGGAGACATTAATGTGAGAGAGAAATATCATGCCTTCAGCATACATCCCAACTAGGATTGAATCTGCAACTTGGGTATGTGCCCTGACCAGGAATCAAACCTGTGACTTTCCATGTATAGGATGATGCTCCAACCAACTGAGCCACACTGGCCAGGGCCATTTGAAATTTTTTGAGGAAATGATACTGTTTTCCATAGTGTTTGCACCAGTCTGCATTCCCACCAGCAGTACACTAGGATTTCCTTTTCCCCACACCCTCACCAGCACTTGTTTGTTGATTTATTGATGGCAGCTATTCTGGCAGGTGTCAGGTGATAACTCATTGTGCTGTTAATT